ATAATAATATTTCTATTTAATATAATTTAATTGACCATTTTGGTTGTTATGTACACCTATTTATTTCTGTTTCTTTTTTTGCAGTTTCAAGGAAAAAAAAACAAGTTGAACCTCAAAACAAGTTTGACACAGTGTCTTCGTAGATGAAAATAATCAGGATCCAGTTGGTGGACGTTTAGTATACCAGAATTATTCACATGGAGGAGTATATCTCCAAATTTAATACTTTTAAGTTAGTTTTGAAAGAAATAAAGATAAAAAATTACTTACTTTCTTTAAATGTGAATATTTATTTATTGTTTTGTGTGTTACACTTAATTTTGACACAAAGGAATATTTTCCCTCACTTATCCGATTTGTTACCGATGAAATCAACTGCAAAAGAAAGCTTTATTTTCCATGATTTCCATTTTCTATGAGTTATTTAAAAGAAAACCTTTTTAAGCATGTTGTAAACATGAATACTTTAATTGACATATATTGTAATAGTTAATGTATACTGTAGACCTTCAAATGAAAATGATTTGTTGACTCAGTGTTGTTTGTTATAATTTTGGATTACAAAATGTGTATTATTGTATTGACTGAAAGATGTCTGATAAATGTTGAACTTCAATTTTGAAAAGCCATGTAGCTCTTATTTTTTTAATTTTAATAGTTTATATACAATTCATAAATATCAAACTTTATTTTATTATCACTATATATGATTAAAAGTGAGTCATTTTTGTGATGTTATACAAATGTGTTGAAAATATATATTTACTGTTTATTAAGTTTTACATGAATAGATAAATCATAAACTGTGTTATACATTTTGTTTAATTGTTTTTATGATCACTTTCTTAAAATAATAAAATCACTTTTCTAGTATAGAAAGTTTTGTATTTTCTCTTTATTTGGGAATTATTTAATGAAAACGGGTCAGATTTATGTTGGGAATGGGTTGGAATTACGTTGGAAACTAGTTGGTATTACGTAAGTAACTGGTTGGAATCATGTTGGAAACTGGTTGGATTCACGTTGGGAAAAGGTTGGAAAGTAGTTGTATATATGTTGAATAGAGGTTGGATTTATGTCATTTTATGACGTTGGATTGACGTCGGACTCTGACGTCTAAAAAACTTTCATATACAACTAAATTCCAACGTCTATCCAACGTCGGACTCTAACGTCTGAGCAACGTTGAAACAACGTCATGTGTTTGCTGGGCGGCTATAAAAGAAGCAATAAAAATTCCCTGCATTACCTCCGCTTTCTTCGTCCCCTTTGCTGCAGGTTTCTCGGGCTGAAAATTTCAAAAAAAAAATTATCAAATATCCAAACATGTATGGTTCACAACCAATGGTCTCAATAAATGAATGCTTCATATTAAGTATCAGAATTTGTATTCCATGTAAAGGTTGTAGTTCATATTCTATGTAAATATGATAGTTTATCTCCCATGTAAATATGATACTTTATATATCATGTTAATATTATCTAGCAAGGGCAGCGGTGGTGGCCTAGTGGTTAAGGTGTCTGCCTCTCAACACACGAGATCATGGGCTCCAGCCCTACTCGGGTTACGACCATGTATATGACACCAGTACTGGTTGGTTCCAGAAAGAGGATTCAAAAGTGATGAATATAAGTTGCAAGAACTTGTTTCACAATCGAGCTTAAATAAATATGCTTAGACCAATATTATCTAGTTTTGAGTAATCTAGTTTGTTTTCCATGTAAATAAAGGTTAAATACCATGTAAATATTAAAATTTGTATTATATGTAACGATTATAAGGTTGTATTCTATAATATGTAAGTATTATAAGGTTGTTACAGTCTATGTAAATATTATAAGGTTGTAGACTATGTAAATATTACAATTAGTATTCCATGTAAACATCATACAATTATTGACAAGTGAGCTATTGAATATGATGTGATATTCATCACCTAATGACACACTGACCAAGGTGATAGCCGAGGGTAAATATGCTTTCCTGCTGATGAATATCACTTTCATTTTATAAGTAAAATTTTGTTCTGTTGACTTTTTATACCAATGTGATTGCAGCTATTTATAGATCATATAATAATATTATTTGTATTACATGCAACTATGATTTAAATAATTGTAATGTAATTTACAGATGTTTGAAAATTTTATCCCTTAACCTGCTGGGTTAAAAAGCAGAGCAGGCAAAATCTGCTTTAGACTTATTTGTCCCTTTGTATCTGTATTGAATGCTGTAAATTCTTGAAAATTTCCACTTATTTGTACAGGCTGTCGGACAACCAGGATGATAAGGATTTGGCCACCCCTGCCACTAGTATAAAACCAGCCCAGGTACCCGATTGGTTGATAATTGTGAAAATCAACGCGGACAAGTCCATTTAAAAAGTGCAGGGTATATGTATCATTCTCTAACAAACCTGAATTTCTTCAACAACAGGCTCATCATCCTCTGCTTCTAGAAACTCTGCCAACTCTTTAAGTTTACTTTTCTTCTCTTTCTACAATATAGATCTACAATTTATAGATTCATACAGTCTTTGTCAATAATAACTTATTCAATACCCACAATATATCACTCTGCAAAATACAAAATAAATATTGATAAACACAGGTGTCTATTCTAGGAGATTATCATTACTAAGTTTAAAATTAAAATACTAAATATAGTCTAGCAGACCTTTTTTGACTTTTTTCCCTCTTTGACTTCACCGTCATCACTTGTTGACAAGTTTTTCATCTTCTCTTCCAGTTTCGTCTCTGTTTCCTCATCATTCCAGTCATCATCCTTTTTCTTTCCACGATTTTTCTTCGGCATTTTGTATTTAAATTAGGATTAATCTGTTAAAAATATCAAAATTTTGTAAAAATTTCGCAACATGTGTCACATTCACGATAAAATCCGACGATGCCCGTAATCGCGCACTAAAATCTTTATTCGCGAAATGGTGTTCATTTTAAACGAAAAGAACAGTAATAAATAATTTTTGTTGTTTTATTTGCAGAGGATACGCAGTCTTAGATGAACACTTGTTATTCAGAGAAAATGTAAATAAAAAAAACGTACGTCAGTTTTGGGATGAATACAATTAAAATGTTAAAGTCAAAATAACCTTTTCAGCGCCTATTTCACAATACACGATATTTTTAAACTAATACATGTGCAAATTTTCACCTACATGTAGAGCTAGCTTAATATCTCCTACCTTTATCCCGTGTTAAACCCTGGAACACATTGTCTTCTACCAAAGAACCAGACGCTTTACCAGCAGAAATATGAATCGCACTATGGTTTACGATAAAAGAGGGACTGTCAAACCAAACTCTGATCGTAATCAGGCTAATGTGAGTAGATGACATGTCCATGAAAAACGTCTTGTTGACCTCATTCTTCGATCTTGACTTTTCAAAAGCTTTTGACATGGTCAGCTATGGAAAAGTTATCTATATGCTGAAGTTATCTCAAATGGATTGAATTTAAGTCTGAGACAATATATATATACGAAGTAAGTCACAAACAGTAACTTACGTACTTCTAAGATCTAAGTCCTCTTTTTATCCCAGTATCCTAAGGTATTCCCAATGGCTCAGTCTCAGCAGGGTCTTTCAAACTATTTGAAAGACCCTTGTCTCAGGGCCTCTATTGTTTCTAATCTATATAAATGTTCTTCCTGGCTTTTTATTTATTCCAAGTTAGACTCTTTGCAGACGACAGAGCTGTACATGTATATCTTTTTCTTACTGTTTCTACCTACAACAAGACTTGCACAATCTTAAAACACTGTAATCAAAATATGGGACATGGAATTCAATCCATCACAATGTCAAGTCATTCAGTTACCAAAACGAAAGACAATATATACCGTGCGCCATACCAACCTTGAACCATTACCAATGAGCACTATCAAGTTACCTTTGTGTCACAATATCAGATAATCTAACTTTTAACACTCACATTTAACTGTATGGCAGCAATATATTGAAGCTCTCATTGACCAGATTGAGTCAGTACAACGCCATGCTTCCCGCTGGTGAAAAAGGACTACAACCGTTCATTTAATGTCTGAGTCATACTTAATTCTCTAAAGTTGAGGAGCCTGGAGCAAAGACGGATCGATGTGCAAAATAAATTAAAGTTGCAATTTCCCTTCCACACTACCTTAAATCAGACTAACACAATGGAATTCGAAATTTCCACTTCCTTGTTTTTTTTTAAAAATTCAAACAACTTCCGATAACTACAAAAATAATACTTAATTATTATTATAAAGGACCATTTTTCACTGGAATGCCTTGCACCAAATATGTATTTACTTTGTCTGTGCCTATTTTCAATAAGTAACTGTATGTAAACCGGAATGAGCATGTCTTACCATAAACACACGTGCCTTGCTTTAATCTTTAAACAAGGTTAGCTTTTAAATTTAAGCTAATAGCGGCTCGTTTTGTCATTTAGAAGAATATCATGGGATGTGTTAAAATATCTAATTGTCAGCCGTCTCTCGGTTTTACAACAACCTTGATAATGATAAAATTAACAAGAGGAATATTACATTCATATAAAGGGGCAATTGGCCTAAAAGCGGTCACTTAGATATGTCAAGATGTATCCCCATAGAACGAATGAAGTCCCTATTGATACACAGTTTCACTTTATGACCCGTTGAATTTTTGATTTATCAAGTCCCACAGACCTTAAACTTTTGGCCTGAAAATGTGTGTGGTAGGTAGAACTCATCAAGGTGTCTCCGAATATGAAGTTTAATTCTTATAGGTTATATATAAGTGCAGGAATGAGTGACAAGTCTTATACAAGTCTATATAAATCAAGTACCCCCTTTGGTAGGCCAAAAGTATTGGGTCCCTGTAAAGTAAATCATGTAAAACATCCATATGCATGATTTGTTTGCATAGAATGCATATGTGAAGCGGCATTACCCTCTAAAATAGTGTTATTAGTGCTCTTTTCACTTGCAGACTACTGTAAACAACTTGATTTTCAACTATTGCATGAAAGCGCTGTAGAATGTTTGACACGATATCGTCTTTGAAGTCATTTTGCAAAGAAAATTGGCTGGCTACCCTATATAAGAAGCTCATGTTTATGTGTTCAAAGAAAAATCAAAGTGCTGCAGCACTGAATGCGACGGACATGCAACCGGAGAGACATTAATTAAGGCTTCTTTTAGAAAAAAAAAAAAAAACAAAAAAAAAAACACACACACAAAATATATAACAGAGAAAATTTGTTCCATACAAGTTCGAGATTTGTAGAGCAATATATTTTGTGTCCCAAATTGATATAATTCAGATTTTCTACTTTCAAGCACTTAAATACAGAATGAAATTTATGCCTAAAAACTCTGGTCAAACTTGTAAATCAGTGTCCTTATCGATTTATTCTAAGAAATGATATGTAAATAGAAAAAAAACTATCAACGAAATATTTCTAGAATAAATCCAGGCAAATAAACTTCAAACATAATACAATTTATACATTTGAGAATGCTATTTAGAATTGCTTCGTGTTATATCATAGTGGGCATACAGACAATAAAATATAAGTCATTTGTATTTTTATTTCTCTTGGATATGTCTCATTAAAAAAAAAATGGTTAAAATCATCAGCAATTAATAGTGTATTTCTTAGATTTTTTTTATTTACAAGGTAAAGATGTAGAGGCCAGAGCACATCGTTTTTATTTTAATTTAAATGTCACTTAAGCACTACAGTGTTTAGTTGTCCTTTTCAACTTCACACTAAATTCCATTTTCAACTTGTTTGCTTCTTACAATTGTATAGCATTTCTAAAAGTATTGCATTACAATCCGCTGGTTTATTTAATTACATGTTTAATGTGTACTTCCTAATCGCCTGTCCAAAAATCAGAACAGGTGAAGCAGAATCTATTTTTAGAATAGCGAAGGTTAACTCATATCATGACCTAGTAAAATATGTAAACAAACCACAAGAATCGGAAGTAGAACTGATATTATAACTTCCTTACCATGAAAGACTACATGGCGGTAAAGCTAGTGTCTTACATGCATTTTCAAAAATAGATATTTATACTAGCCATTGTACTGTATCTAATATATTAAAGGGAAAGACAAGGTTAAAATAAAAACTTGATTTCAGAAAAAGAATACTATAAATAATAAGTCTGCAAATTTTCTGCCGCCAAATAATAATATTAAACGAATGATAACAAAATTTAAATCGCTAAATCACCGATTTCTACAAATCGGTAAGCGCGGCCATGTTTGTGTATTGGCCGTATAAAAACAGGTGCGCGTGATGTCATTTCCCCACATCTTTTAGATTCATGATAAATCTAGTTGAATCGTAAGGAAATATTAATATAATAAAGTATTGATCAGACAATTTAATTTTTACAGGAGGTGTAGAGGAGATTTTTTATGGTTCAAAATACGTAACAATATCAAAAAAAAATAATAATAATAAATAAAGAAACGTACGGCTAGCCAAAAGTTCTAGCCGTACGTGAGTCACGAACGACTAGCCAGGACGCACTGTATTGTCTAGCCGTACGGCAATTTTCAAAATTATATGGAAGTCGCACGTTATAAAATTGTTGATTTTCATGCTTATCATTTGTTGTTTAATTTGTATGAATAATTAAATCATTTTTGTTAATTTAGAGCACATGGATCGAATAAAAAATGATCGGAGTGGAATAAATAAATAAAAAGAACATTGAATGGGAAAAAAACGGTGAAATGCAAAAATAATTATATAATTTTCAAAACAGTAGATAAATATCGAACATAAAAGCACAGTCAATCAATTAATTAGCCTTAATTAAAACCTATCCAGGGACTGACAATAGAATTTTAGAATGCCTTTCACGGAACATGCAAACTTTCCTTGATACAGTACCGTCGGTAATTGTCGCAATTATCAAGAGCCTAACAACAATCATTTTCAGTGTTTGTTGTTGTTTTTTTTTTTTTCATATAAAAGGTGTCGAAAATTAAACTTAATGAAACAAAAAAGGATTATTATCAAAAAATTGTAAACTATTTCAATTGGTGTAAATGCAAGCAAAGGCTATTTTTTCTCGACATCTTGCGATGACAAAGATCGATATATATAGCGATCAAGGCGATTAATCTCTAAAAAGTTAACATCCAAAGACAATTAATGCTGTTTCTTGGATAAAATCCTCGCTTAAAGTCATAAAATAACATATGCATTTTCGACTTCCATAAAATTTTGAAAAGTGCCGTACGGCTAGCCAATACAGCGTGTCCTTGCTAGTCGTACGTGACTCACGTACGGCTAAAACTTTTGGCTAGCCGTACGGGCCCGCACGCTAGCCACTTCCATTATAAAAACCCTAATAAAACGTGTTCTTAATAGTACATATAATTAATTTTTTGCAGTTTGATTCTGACTTTCAAATTTAAAGGTGTGAACATATGTTATAATTGATGTACACATTTCAAAAATATAAGCAACTGTTTTGAAAAGTAAATTGTTAACATGTCTGTCAACGTATGATGCTGCGCCTCGTAATCGTAGCCTAATATTAACTGCAGGCAAATCATTTTTATTGGCTGCTCAAAAATCTAATTTGCATAATTTATTCACACAATTGCTGGTTCTTACTACTTATGTCTAATACTGCGCATTGTCCATTTTAATTGTTCCTAATTTGCACCAAATGCTCCTGTCACACTGTGTACTGACGATTTTTATTGCTCCTTGTATGCCTCTGTGCCGACAGACCTTTTGATCATGCACAATGTTGCCCTAATTGGTTAATCACCCTTGTCAAATATTCTAATGACGAAATAGACATCTATTTTTTTACGCTTCATCAGTGAACTGAATGACCTTAGGGGGAATTCGGTTCCACACCTGTCAAATTGTACTGTAGTAAATTACAGCACGTCATAAAATAGCAACACATTTTCTTTCAGTTCCCAATAATCATTTTAAATATTAAGTAGATTTATGATTTTTTGTTTTATTGGATTAAATTTACGGTAGAAGAAATGCGTATCTGTCG